AATGTTGGGTTTACTATCGGCTGGAGTCAACAGTTAGTCCGGTGGTGCTGTGGTTCGTCGCTGGCTGGAGAGAGGCATTGAGTAGATCGGGGGGCTATGGTTGTTGGCAGAGCGATTTGAGGTTGCCCGGTGGGTTTGGCTCTTCATCGGGACTCATAACTTGTAGGTGGAGGCCGGAGCAGCGATGAATCACATGGAGGCCAGCTCCCAAAATGGACCAAGGTGGGACCCGCCTCTTTGGGTATTTTCTGCTATGTGGATGATTTCAAACCACGTGGATTCCCTCCTGACATTGCTATTGCGTGTTCAATATACATCTCCTACTGCCCCCTTTTTTTCCTTTTTTTTCGGTTGAAGAGAGACAAATCGATTCATGTGGCTCTTTTTTTTTATATTTACATTTAGCTGTAAACTTGTAGTTCTTTTTTTTTAGAAGAAGCATTTCGTATCCCTTTTTTTGTTTTTTACGAAGGAAAAGTTTATTTGCTAAGTAATAAACAGTAAGGTAAAAACTAAAATGATGGGGTAAAAATGTGGTCTGTGGAGGGTTTTGGTGCTTTGGTAAAATTGATGTTTTTTTTTTTTTTGTGTTGAGATTTTTTGAAATGTACAAAACTCAGTTATGTGTACAAACAGCTGTGTAAATGGAAAGGGTTATTAACATAGAGAACCTCGACTAAAAGGATTTCCTGATGAAATATGAGCAAAGAAAAAGGTAAAAACTCATAAAACTTATTTTTTCCTCCAATCTTCTTAAACAACAATAAGTAAAGCAGTTTTCTGAAAATGTGTGATCAGAAGGTGGGGTAAAACCCATAAAAACTTCTCCTCTCCTCTCTCTCTTTTTTTGTTTTTGAAGGTTTTGTACAAGCCATACAACTATGTACAAATGGTTGTTACAGAAAGTAAAAATATACACGAAAATGCACAACTTGGAAAGGGTTTTCTGATAATATGTGAGCAAAGGATGAGATAAAACTCATAAGAAGCTTCTTTCCTTCTCATCTTTCTGAAAAAACCTCAAAATAAAAAGCAAAACGGATTTAATAAATTATTTTTCTTAGAAAAACTTTTTGCTTCTCTTCACTCTTCAGCTTGCTTAACAAGCTATCAAAGTATGAACAAAGAAACAGATCTGAACAGATTTTCGTTTTTTTCTAAACTTCTGGAGAGAAAACATCATAAATATAAACAAAGGTGCGTAAGAACTCGATTTTTTGAAATGTACAAGCATCCCAGCTTTGTTTACAAACAAATGTTGCTGGGAGTAAGGTTACACAAAAAATCTTAACTGAAAAACGATTTTCTAATAATATGAACTTGATAAAAGGATAAACTTGTAAAAATTTCCTTTCTCCCCAACTTACTGAATGGGTCATTGAAAAGAAAAATGAAACTGATCTGAAATGCCTTTGCAAACTCGAAAAATCTTTGAATGAACCAAAACTAGAACAGGTCCAAAGATCTGGTCTAAGAAACAAAGCAAATCCATAGATCTGAACAAAAACACTAAGTAGATCAGGAGATCTGAGCTAAAAACGAAGTAGAGTAGATCTATGGATCTGAATGAAAAACACATCAGATCAAGAGTTCTAAAAGATAGCTAATCAGATCTGAACGGATCTGATCAAATGAGGGATAAGAATGGACAGATCTGAGAAAACCTGATGTAGAACTCAACAGATCTGAACAGATCTAGGAAGAACAAGGTGATGGCTGCTTGTTCAAGTCTGGGATGGCGCCAAATGATGCGACATCGACCTCCGGCAAGTCTTCTGGTCTTCTGCTGCGGCGGAGATCTGACATCACAGTGCAAAGTCGTTAGAGCCGCCCCAGGGACTGTGCCCCGGGAGCGGACTCCGACGGTCAAGTTAGATCAGCTAGAAGATCTGAGATGGTCCTCCATAGCTGGAGAGAACCATCTTGGTGCTAGTGGTGGTGTATGGTGGCTGACGGCGCGGGTGCGACTGAGCCACCCGGCGGAGTGTAGTGGCGGCTGAGCATGGGGGAAGATCTTCCTCCATGGAGGAGCGGTACTGTTCATTATATAGGGGACAATTAGGTCAGGTCTTGGGCCAGCCCAATTCAGGCCCAGCTAGCAAGGAGGGCGAGGCCGCCCGGAGGCGCCGGGCGGGGCTGGCGGGCGCGCACCAGGAGAGGATGGCAAGGGAGTGCCAGGAGAGGGAGCGCATGGCCGAGCCGGCAGGAGAGTCCCCAGCAGGGCTGGCAAGGGAGTCCCCAGCAAGGCTCGCAAGGGAACGCCAGGCAGGGCTGGCAGGAGCGCACCAGGGCAGGCTGGCGCGCTAGAGCAGTCTAGGCCATGCCAATGGACCATATATCATCAACCAGAGTTGACTCTTAAGGGGGTTATGAGTATGAAAGGGTAATTAAAGGAGATTTTATTGTATAGGAGTTTGAGTGGAGTTGATTCTAGAGCCGAGGACAATTCAACTACTTCACGACATTTGAGGTGAGTTACCTTCCAGTAGATTGGGCGTAAGGCACCAATGTCGGCCTACTAGTAGGTGTTTATAGTATGGATGATTGTCTTTGTGATAATTGGCTGGTATGACACTATCTGTTATGCTTTATGTGCTAGTATGCTATGATATTATGTGATAGTGGTAGGAGGGGTGAAATAGTCCCGGTTACCGGTTGAAAGAGACCGAAGGGGTAGACAGTACCCATATATGCCTAGCAGTATGTTTATGATATGATATTATGTGGTAGTGGTGGGGGGGGGTGAAATAGTCCCTGTAATTGGTTAAAATAAATCGGAGGGTAGGTCGGGCACCCAAATATGCCTGACAGGGGTAGGTCGGACACCCCGATATGTCTGACAGGGATAGGTTGGGCACCCCGGTATGCCTAACAGGGATAGGTTGAGCACCCCGATATGCTCAGCAGGGTAGGCCGGGCACCCAGATATGTCTGACAGTATGTTTATTGTATGGTATGTGGTATGATGAGGGAACTCACTAAGCTTCGTGCTTATGGTTTTCAGTTTTGGTTTCAGGTACTTCATCTTCGAAGGGAAAGGAGCCGGCAAAATGGCAGCGCATCACACACATGATTTTCCGCACATGAGATTCTTGGGATTTGTACTCTGACATCATTATCTTATGACATGTTTCGAGACATATGACTCATGGGTTTTTATGAAATGAGATAACTTGATGATGTTTTCAATAAACTGTTTTATGAATTATTAAATTAAAAACGAAATATTTTGTCTTGGATTTTGGGATGTTACATATCAGGTATATTTTACCCCTACAACTAGCATATAATCATAACAGAAAGAATCACAGAGACAACAAACATATACATGCATAACAGGTAATTGTCACGAAGACAATCATCATCCTACAAACATAATCTAGTGGCCCGACATTGGTGCCTTAGGCCCACAGATATAGTGGAGGAAACTCACCTCTCGATCGACAATGAACTATTGTTGCTCTCACGGTCAGCTAGACCGGTGCTACACCACACCTAGATAATCATACAAGGCAAACCTTTAGTCTGATCAAAAGTCACCGCCTAAGGTCAACGATCAACATTCCGATCAGCTCACGCTCACGTTGTGAGAATGGACTCGACTCGGCCCTACTCATCGAGTCGACTTAGTCACAACCCATCCAACCAGATTCCTCAGATTAGGACAACCTCATTTCTCACGTCGTGAGATTCCCATTTCTCACGTAGTGATATCTGTTCAGACCAACTTTGAGCACTAAGGTCTTAATCCTATAAGATATTCTTTGGGACCTTCCAGAGGACCTTCCTCGAACCTAAGGACTATAAAAATCGTAGCTTTTTAGTTATGCATGTCCAATGCATGACTTAGATACTAACTAGGTCAAAAGAAAGGTAATAAGATTAAGACTCATGCTTGGAGTCTAAAACCAACACCAAAACTCAGATCCAAAGCCTCATATACAGAAGATGTCTTAATAATCCATAAAGTTGCCAGCTTTATGGACCCCATGCATGTTACACAACCCAACCATGCAAAGAAAGCTCTCAAAACCTAAATCTAACATGCAAGAGGCAAAAAGGTAAGAGCTTTATGACTTACAGAGGTCCAAAAGCTCAGCAAGACCAAGCGTATGGACCCCATGCATGTTACACAACCCAACCATGCAAAGAAAGCTCTCAAAACCTAGATCTAACCTGCAAGAGACAAAAAGTTAAGAGCTTTATGACTTACAGAGGTCCAAAAGCTCAGCAAGACCAAAAGGTAGAAGCTAGATTGCCAAAATGAAGCAGCACAAGAGTCCTCTTCCACTTCAATGGACCAAAAACCACCAAATAAGCTCTTCATGGTCACCAACAATGGCCAAAGGCTCAAAGAGGTCGAATTTAGGGTTTTTCAGGAGGCTAGAGAGTGAGAGAGACTGAGGAAAAACTATTAAAGTCTTACAATACATTTAAAAAACATTTAACCCAAATATATTCTTATTTGAATGCAATTCTTATTTTGAACGCAAACAAACTACATATTTTTATCTTTAACTCATAACATCAACATAATTATGTTTTTAACCACATTGATATTAAAAATAAATAGAAAATAAAATAAAAAATTCATCAAATAAATTTCACACATCTCATTCAATGAATGTCGTCTTACCAACTATTTTTGGTCTTTAATCTTTATAATGAATTACAATTTTAACTTAATTTTATTTATTTGTGTGAAAATGAATTGTTATTTTTTATTTTATTGTCTTTTAATGTTATTTTTTTCATCCCTATATTATTTATTTAGGTAGATTTGTCTCTATATGATAACAAATTAAATAATGATAATAAAAAAAAAACAAAAATATATTTTTTTTAATTATACCGGTCAACTTTCCATCGACTGAGTATAAAACTAGTTATATGTGACTTTTTATAATTTGGTTAGACCCGAAGAGATTTGATTTTAATTTGAATTATTTACATGTATATTTTGAAAACTAAAATCAATTTGCATAGCAATAAAAACGTAAACCAAATTAACCATTTAGTTACCCAAATATCGCTTTTAAACCGCTTCGTCTCCTACGCTTTTTATTGCAGGAAATGGCGCAACGTGGAACCAAGAAATCCCCCAAAATCAAACAAAACAGTCGCACACATACACACAAATAGAAAACAATCAAGCATCCTCCCTCTTCTCTTCCTCGATCCATCTGTGTTCATACCAAACCATTGCAAATGTATCGATCGGCAGCGAAGCGGTTGCTTCCCTATTCATATTTCTCTGTTAAACACTGCTTACAAACCTCTCGACTGCCAATCACAACACCTCGTTTTCGTTTTCGTTTTCTCTCATCGGCGACATCCGACTCCCCTTTCCCGAATGGCTTTAACACCAACACCACCACCTCATCTTCGTCCACCCAAACAGATGAATTTCACAACCCTTCTGATAGTGGTGCCTCTAGAAGAACACCACCTAGGGCTAATTACGAAGAGGAACAAGCTCGAGTGCTCGCGGCATCTCTTCTTCACGTGGTACGTTTGATTTCATTTTACAATTGCAACCTAATTTCCGTTCGTGTTATTCCACACTAATCTCGGCTCTTATTTTCGATTCTAATTGTGGAATGAAGCATATACGTATTTATCGCACTTGTTTCTTCAAATGAATTGGAATGCCTGGTCTGGATCAGTGTTAAATTACAATCTTAGGTTGTGCAAAGAGATCCAGAAGCTTGGTTGTGATGTCATGGTGTGTTTGTTTTGGTTAATTGAATGCCAATTTCTTTTTCCTTTTTCCAGGCTAGGTTAGGATGGACTGAAGCAGCCATGATTGCAGGTGCTAGGGATGTTGGTGTTTCCCCTTCCATTGTTGGAGTTTTTTCACAAAAAGAAGGTGCCCTAGTTGAGGTATACACATATTCTTCCACACTTTTCACCTCTCATCATCATCATCTTTGATTAATCTTTTCATCCCCCTTACTCGTCTTACAGTATTTTATGGACGAATGCTTGAAAAAGCTTATTGATGCAATCGACTCTGGTGAGTTACAATTACAAGATTTGGTACCAAGTGAACGCATTGCAAAGCTGGTTAGATATCGCTTAGAATTGCAAGCTCCATACATATCAAAATGGCCTCAAGCTCTAAGCATTCAAGTAAGTTCTATTGCTATTTGCTACATCTGTTAAATCACCTTAAAAGTAAGTAAACAATCACAATTATGGACATAGGCACAACCATCAAACTTCACAACAAGCTTTAAACAACGAGCAATGCTAGTTGATGAGTTTTGGCATGCTGTAAGTGATGAAGGAAATGGTGTGGATTGGTACCTAAAACGCACTGTTCTTGGTGGAATTTACTCAACAACTGAAATATACATGCTAACTGATAATTCCCCAGGTTTGTTTTAAAGTTTAAGTTTTGTTACATATTGTAATGAACTAATGATTGATGATAAATTGATAATGGGGTTGTTTTTTTTCAGATTTTAATGATACATGGGTATTCTTAAATGAGAGAGTTAGAGATGCATTTGATCTAAAGAAGACATTTCAAGAGGTTTGTTTATTTTTTCAATGTGATAACTTGAATTTAAATGCATTTTCACATTTAACTTTTTTGTTGGGTAAGTTTTTCAGGTGAAATATTTTGCAGAAGCAGTGGGGGCAGGGGTGGGAGGGTCATTTCAAGGGTTTATGAAGAAAGGTTGTTAAGGATTGAGAATTTGATGTTTGAAGATTGTAGCAAAGGTTTACATACTTTGTTTGATTGCTTATCTTTTATGTGACCCTAAAAAATAAAGTTAATATCTTTTCTGACTTTGAAAAGTGTTTGTAGTGAGTTGTTAAATTGTAAACGGGGCAATTGCAAATAATTACCCGACAATTTCAAATACCATTTTATAGTCGCTTCACATAGATTTATGCAAAAAGTCATTTTTATAGCCTTTTTATTTTCTCATTCCAAGTCGTTAAACATTTAAAAAAATATGCTTAAAAGGCCTTTAACATTGCATCCTTGTGGGCTTTTGATGCTATGTGTTGTTGATAATGATGATCTTGCATGTAAGTTCAAGCAAAGTGAGGTTGTCGATCCGATATTCAAAGAGGTTGAAGCGTTTCTAAAAACTTTGTGGTTAGATGACGATTAGTTTGGATAGAGATTAAAGGCTTACCCTTGTGTGCATGGACGACTAGTGCTTTAAAAAAAAAAGTGGCAAGTGAACGAGTGTTTTCTTATTTCAAGATGAAGATCAAGAGGAAAATATTACTTGTGGCCACGTATGTATCAAATCAAAGATATTGGTTATGATAATGGTAAATATCGAGGGGCTGAAGTATGAAGTGAAGGTCCGGGAGATATCCGAGTGGGTTCCTAAGATAGTGAATGATGATGATGACATAACTGATGCTAAGGGTGAAGATCGAGATGATTTTGATGAAAGTTCAGAAAATGAAAGTGATGATGGTGGGGATTCCGAACATGATAACGAGTACATTGTGAGTGAGGGTATTCTAGGTACTTTTGAGGCTAAACATCCTTCTATTGATGCTATTGATTAAAATGTTAAAAATCGGATTCTAAAAACGAAGTGGTGATGGTATGTTCTATGGTTTCATCTTTTGTATTTGGATGGTGATAAAATAACAATAAAGCATCAATGTATTTGGATTTAAATGCATCCCAAAGATCTTTCGTAGATTTGTGGTTTTGATAGAGATCAAAGAGAGTAAGACATACCATTCAATTTGTGGTTTTGATAGAGATCAAAGAGAGTAAGACATACCATTCAAGATGTGCCAACGACATATGTAATCATCATTGTCCCACTTGCATATTCTTTTGGTATGTGTTATGGTTTCATCTTCTATCGGTTCCGGTGCATGAGTCCTTAGAATATGAACAACTTTCTAGAAATAGTGACAAGGAAGTGCATCTTCTTCTTCCATCGACGAAAGTCATTGCCAAGAGGTAATCCATGCAAATCAAATAACACGAATGCAAACAAGAACTGTGAAACCAAACTATATTGATAAGAATAGTTTCAATAACCAAGAGCTAATCAGAAAACATACTCTAATTACGTACACACTCTTGATCGATAACCCTTTACACAATCAGGTATATATATATATATATATATATATATATATATATATATATATATATATATATATATATATATATAGAGAGAGAGAGAGAGAGAGAGAGAGAGAATATATATATATATATATATATATATATCTATATATATATATATATATATATAGAGAGAGAGAGAGAGAGAGAGAGAGATCAATAGAGAACCATAATTATTAGTTCTCCAAGGAACAATTTTTTTTTTCAAGTTTTAGAGCTTATTGTTTATCGAAAAAAAACTAAAAATTTCTAAATTAATTTCACATTGTGAATGCTAAAAAATAAATTATATATTTTTCAAGTTCACCGTGTGAATTCAGATTCACACTGTTAATTTGGTAATTTTTTTCTTTTTTATCGAATTTGGTATCATTGGAAAAATGATAAAAAGTTTTGAATTTCTATATTTTTAGTAATTTTTTTATAAAAAAACAAGCTCTAAATGTTGAAAAAAAGATTGGTTCCTTGATTCCTTAGTTAATTATAGTTCTATTTTGAACCTCACCCTATATATATATATATATATATATATATATATATATATATATATATATCTATATATATATATATATATATATATATAACAAAAGAATAAAATTCTATCTTAACATACAAGATAGACACAAAAGGAAAAACAATCCCTTAGGACTATTTTAGGGATGAACATACGACCTGTTAGATCGGACCGGACCGGAAAAAAAATCGGGACCGGACCCTAACCGAACCGAATTATCATATTAGTAGGCCGATTTTCAGGTTTGGTTTTTATCAATAATCTGGTTTTGGGTTTGGATCGGACCGTACCCGAATTAAAGGATTTAACCTGGACCGGACCGGAAAACTAAAAGTTATTTTATTTTTATTTTTTTTTATCGACAAACAGTAAGCGAGAATTACCAAAATAAAAAAATGTTGTCTGAGTGAATTGATTCGGCCTCTCCTGTAGATCACATTATAGTGTCAAATTTTTTTTTTCGGCCTCTTCTCTTGATCGCATTATGGTGTCGATTTTCTTTTTCTCGAAAAACCAAAAGTTATTTCCTAATACAATTTTTTTTAATAAAAATAGTGCAATTCTTTTTTTTTAATAATGCAATATTTTGTTGTCAAGTGCAATTTTTTTTTATAAAAATAGTGCGGTTTTTTTTAATTATAAAAATAGTGATGTTAAGTGTAGATTTTTTTATATAAAAATAATGAAGTTTTTTTATAAAAATAGTGTAGTTTTTTAATAACGTTTTTATTTGTTTGCATACACCTCATTTGAACGTGTTCTAATTAGAGTCCCACAGCATACCGTTGTATTCATATTCTTTTATGTATTCTTTTAGTCGAATTGTGCAAACAACAAAGATACGAATGATGGATTTTACGTAATAAGATTATAATTTGAAATAGTATGTTAGAGAGTGACATGACAAACAAAACCTGAAACCGTAAACAACAAACATACGAAACCCAGTTTGGTATAAGAACAAGATTGGACCGAAACCGTAAACAACACTACCAAAGTCTAATTCGGTCCAAAACCTGAAACCCGGTATAGTACCCGGAACCGGACCGGACCGAACCCCGACCCGCTACACCCAAAAACGGTCCGGTTTTCGGGTAAGGTAATTCACGATTTTCGGTCTTCGGGCCGGTCCGGTTCGGGTTCGGCTTGTTCATCCCTAGACTATTTTATTATATGGAAAGCCTGATCTTTATTACTATCCTTAAACCATAAGGAACTTAACTTCAAATGCCAGGGCTTCATCTACTGTCGAATCTTCATGAAGCTTCCTGATGTCATCATGGGATGTAACCCATGATGATCATCAGTGTCAACAACAATTGACGCACATCTTTTGGATTATCAAATCACAAGGGTCCTAACAATCTCCCTTTATTTGATAATGTCAATACTAACTATACTAACTAATAACTCTTTATAATTTACATAGTATTTAAGTATAAAGTATACAAAATGAACTACAAACTTTTAAGGAAGAATACCAACAACTCTATTTTCATATTCGACAGCTTCATACATAATCTAAGGCTTAAAAAAAAGGAGAAGCCTCTTAGTAGCTCATGTCTTCTCTTACTCCATTCCACTGATATCATAAGATGATAATGTTTAACAAGTGGCTTGCCCTTGATAAAATCTCCCAGACATAGTAGATTATGTGTTGTAGCCCTGTGTAAATCAGTATACCTTTGAAAGCACATCCTCCCATTCTTGTCTCAACAAACACATCATCGATGGTCTGTAAACAATCTTATAACACTCAGGAACAGTGTTTGGGGGGCAAGTTGTTGTTATCAGTTTGGAACCAAAGGGAATAAGACCCTTGATGTCTTAATCTTCATACTTTTGTCTTCTTCTTCTTTTTTGTCTGTGAGAAGGTTTAGGAGGAGGTGGAGCAATGAAGTTTAACTTCTAAACATTTTCCATGAGTTTACCCTATCAGTTCTCAATTTTTTATACAAGTTTCTCTTACTGTTAGAGAGGAATTGCATTATTTCCTCCTATCCTGAATAGCCATACTTGGTAAGTTCTGAGACATGAATTTTCTTAGGAAAGAGATCAAGACCACCATCTCTTGTTATTCTCAGTGTTATAACTATGTTGTTATTGGGATTGGAGCACCTAACTTTCATAATCTTGTTAGCATTGGGAGTGATTATATGTCACACCCCCAATCGAGGCAGAGGAACATGTTGAGCTGTGCGACTTAGTTCATGGATCACAAGTAAACTTATTATATAACACAAATACAAAAATGAACAAAATAGTAGTTGTATTCCATCTTGAAGTTTGAATACAAGGTTCTTACATATAATAGTATAGTACATGAATTTCGTTAAACATGTAAGCAAATATAACAAAACTAGAAAACTAGGCTGTCTGAAATCCATGACTATTCCGTTGTCTGAAATGCTTGTTTAGTGATTCCTTGAGAATATATGTAGTTTTGAGGGTCAACATAAGGTTGGTGAGAGTTACATGTTTTCTGCTAGTGCAGTAATGGTACTTTTAAAATGTTTAAAAATTATTTTTCCATGCAAGTAAAACCATACTTGAAAATGTTTTGTAGTGAGAGAAACCATAAGTAAATCCATACCTAAAATGCTTTATAGAGAGAGAAACCATAAGTAAATCCATACTTAAAAAAGTTTTGTAGAGAGAGAGAAACCATAAGTAAATTCATACATAAAAAGTTTTATTGATAGAGAAACCAAGGCCATGGTTTGTAGAGAAAGAGAGCGAGTGTGACATCCCCTAATTTCTCGGCCAGAAAAGACCGATTTCGTTTATGCTTTTTAAAATAAAATCAGAGTAATCCTTTTAAAAGGTGTTGCGGAATTTGCTCCCATAAAAACATGATAATTATATTATCAAATCATTTCTGAAGAAATGTATTTTATTCACTTAAACCATTGGGATGTCATCGTCAATACAGAAACATAAGCATAAACAGAACTTACACTCACTTACATTAGTGATCTACATCTCTTTTAATCTCTCAGTGTAAAGTAACTTCGTATCGATACCTGTGATACAAACAAACTGAGTGGGTCAGGCTTGGGATCCTGGTGAGCATATAGGGTTTTCAACCCACAATAAATAATTTATTATGCTTAAACATCAAACAATCAACTCAATTACCCAATCCCCATTATCTTATTTATTTCTTAAGGATTTACCCTAAGAATCAAATCTCACTCATTCCTAAGGATTCATCCTAAGGAATAGGCACGAAGTCCATCGCTGCCCAAGGGTTATATTACAAGCACTAACAAACGTCGACCAAGAATCGACTATCCTTCATCCAATCATTCCCTAGGATTGACCTAAGGAATTTATCCAAAGTCCATTGCTACCAAGGTTCATACAAGAGACACTACGTCACATAGTCGCCAGGGTTTATACAATAGGCACTACGTCTCATAGTCGCCAAGGTTTATACAATAGGCACTACGTCTCATAGTCGTCAGGGTTTATACAATAGGCACGAAGTCACATCGTCACCATGGTTTATCTAATAGGCACGGAGTCACATCGTCACCAGGGTTTATCTAATAGGCACGAAGTCACATCGTCGCCAAGGTTTATACAACAGGCACTAAGTCCATAGCTGCCAACATACTAAATCCGTAGCTACCAACGTACATCTATACTGTACTAAATTCATAGCTACCAACGTACATCTATACTGTACTTCTATCCCTCATACTTTATCTACCCATGTTTTACCCAACATATTTGAAGATAAAATATATATACATTTTAAATCATTTTAAACATGTATAAAACATTCATTTAACATCCATCTCAAATAAACAAACAACATATATACACATATCACGTATTTTATATAAAATACTTCATATCTATGTGTAAGATGAAAGTGACTATACACTCACCTGATTTAATGAA